TCAAACATACTCACCGCATTTTGAAAATACTATTATACCATTTGGGTTCTGCAGTTTACTCTAAGCTATCTTCTAAAAAGTAAGTAACGTAAAATGGATCAGTATGTACATAATGCAGTCAGCCCTCATAGGAAGCCCAATGCTGCATGCTAATATGCTATGTCCTTATTAACCACAGTGTATCAGTGTAAGCTTAAATTTGGGGAATGGAAAAAAAGGGCATGCATTCATTTGAACATTTTTAATCTGAAGAGAGCATTGTCAAAAATTGTGAATCAAAAGTGATTAACATAGCTCTTATGAGCAAAAATAACTGGATGCATATATATGCACAAAATACAGTCTTTCTAAAAAGTGCAAAACAAATTAACAGCAGCTGCTGATCACTCATGAGTAACTCAACACCATGAGTCTGTATACATGAGCAGTAGAGGGAAGCATTTTAACAAGGAAATAAATTTTAGTTTTAAGCTTTACAGAATTTTACAGATGATACAATAAAATAACTTAAGTGTGCCATTTATTCTTTAAGAAACCTAGTTTAGGAAATGCAATCTTTCTAATATCTCTAAACATCAGAAAGAACAGTTTGCTCAATAACCAAAGGTAGAAAGCAGTAAAACTTCTTTAAAAAGTGTGTTCACTAACAGTGGGGCAATATTGTTAACTGATTTTCTGCCAGACAAAATGTTTTAGTTTCTCCCATCTGGGCATATCTAAACAGTATGGAAGATTTGTTGTTGTTGTTGTTGGGTGCCATCAAGTCAGCTCCAACTCATAGCTACCCCATGTACAACAGAATGATACACTGCCCGGTCCTGTGCCTCACAATACTTGCTATATCTGAGCCTATTATTACAGCCACTGTGTCAATCCATCTCCTTGAGGGCCTCTCCCTTTTATGATGACCCTCCACTTTACCAAACATAATATCCTTCTCCAGTAAATGGTCCTTTCTGACAACAAAACAAAAGTAGGTGAGATGAAGTCTGGCCATGCCAGCTACAATACTTCCAGGACAGATTTGTTAGTTCTTCTGGCAGACTGTGGTACTTTCAATATGCTTTGCTAAAACTACACCATACATAGATTTATTTAATTAGTAAAGTAACTGCCATAAGCAAACTAATGTATAGTGAATGACAAGGGTTTGACAGGTCCATGGTAGTGAAAACAGTTTGCTGTAGATGACTAAACTAAAGATTGGCTGTTTGAACTCATACAATGGCCCCATGGAAGAAAAGTCATGAGCTGCTTCCTTCTTGCAAATTGCTTTAATAAAGATCAAGCCAAAATAACTCTACAGGGCAGTTTTGCTCTGTAACACATGTGATTGCCATTAACTGGTTGGCAAAGGGCAGCGTTTTGTTTCATTTTTGGAACAAAGACCTTGGAAAATATTATTATCCAGTGGCCCTATTGTGTAATTATTGTTATTCTTTTACGGATAAGGATATAAAATCTTAAAGAAGTCACCAGGCAGTATGGTTTATGGTGTACTAACAAACAAGTCTCAAATTTTTGTGGATTAACACATAAAATTGATTTGTTATTCATAGAAAGTTTGGTTCTAGTCTGGCAATCTTCCAAAGATTACTCAGCTGCTTCTATCTTGAACTGTAGAGCATGTATGTAGTTTTCAGTTATTCTGGAAAAGGAAGACAGTGTTAGAGGGCCTCGACTTGGAAATAGTGCAGAACACTTCTACTCTGATATTGTTTCAAAAACAGTTACATGATTCCACCTAATTGAAAAAGTATAGGTATCCTTGTTCCTGGAAAAGAGAAGAGAACTCAATATGGATAAGTACCACTAGCAATGTCTACTATGAGAGATAATGTAATTTAACCAAGGTTACAAAGCTAGAAGATGATAAAAGCCAGAATCCAAGCACAGTTTATTCAAAATCTACTCTAATGTTAGATCTGTTCTCAAGCTCTAGGTATAAAATATCTACTATATATTGGCTCTTGATGTACCAAGAAAAAATAGACAATGGAATATACTTAATACAAATATTAAATTTTTGTTAAAGAAAACCTCTAACAGACTTCATATATATTTTCCCTTTAAAAAATACTTACAGACTACTTATCAACTACCCATTTTTTTCTGTTTCAGCTGAAGGATCATGTGTCAGTTACCCAGTGCTGCTACAACATATATACCACAAATGGATGGCTTTAACAAACAGAAGTTTATTTTCTCACAGTTTAGGAAGCTAGTAAGTTTGAATCCAGACAGTTGACATTAGGCAAAAATCTTCCTTATCTGTAGGCTCTGGAAGAAGGCCCTTGTCTCTTTGAGCTTCTACTCCTGGGCAATCTTCATGTGTCTTGGCATTTCTCTTCCCCCATATCTGCTATCAAGTGCTGAGGAGCAAGGATATCTCCTTGAGGACTAAGGTGTGCCTGACACAAGCCAGGATATTTCCAATCACCTCGTATGCATGTGAGAGCTGGACAATGAATAAGGAAGACAAAAGAAGAGTTGATGCTTTTGAGTTGTGGTGCTGGCAAAGAATGCTGAAAGTACCGTGGACTGCTAAAAGAACTAACAGATCTGTCCTGGAGGAAGTGCAGCCAGAATGCTCCTTGGAAGCAAGAATGGCCAGACTTCGTCTCACCTATTTTGGTCATGTTGTAAGAAGGGACCATTTCCTGGAGAAGGATGTCATGCTTGGTAGGGTGGAGGGTCGACGAAAGAGGGGGAGGCCTTCAACGAGATGGATTGATATGGTGGCTGCGATGATGGGCTCAAGTATAGCAGGGATTGTGGGGCTGGCACGGGATCGGGCAGTGTTTCGTTCTGCTATGCACGGGGTCACTGAGTCGGAAACGACTCGATGGCACTTAACAACAACAACAACATATCTGCTAGCTACAATGTGTTTAATCTTTTGATATCTCAAAAGAGATTGACTCAAGATATGCTCTACTCTAATCCTGTCTCATTAACATAACAAAGACAACTCATTTCCAAATGGAATGAGAACCATAGGCATATAGGTTAGGATTTACAACACATATTTTTGGAATACACAATTCGATCCATAACATGCCACTTTCTCATGAAGGTTTTCCTAAACCACTGGATGAGATTCCAGTTGCCATTGAGCTGACCCCAGAGTAGTTGCAATTGAGCTATCAACATAGAACAGTACTCCATAGAGTTTTCAGTGGCTGATATTTCAATAGATTGTCATGTGTTCCTTACCTCTGGGTGGAATTGAACCTCCAACCTGTGTACTAGCAATGGAGAATCCAAGGTCTCCAGATAAAGTGAAATTGCTTTTTTCTTCACACTCAGAACAATGTTGTAAAACTCATCACATTCCCTTAAAGCCTGTAAGTTCATGGTAGCAGCAAGTATATTCCTGCTGTGTCTCCAAGGGCTGGCACAATTCTTGACACAGAATAGGCAACCAATAAATATGTAGTGAATAAACGAATGAATGGATGAATGGAGAGATTGAGATTGACTCCCTTCTGCTACAGGCCATGCCATTGTTTGATACTTTTCTGTCTTAAATCTTACCCAAAACAAGGTGAAATTTACTCTTGTACAGCTTCCATCCAGTATCATTGGTTCTTCCCATTTAACTAACATTGAATAAGACTAATCTCCTTATAAGAGTTCTCCAAATTTCTGAAGAAAGTCACCATATGTTCTTAATTGTTTCTGGTCTCCTCAATCCTTCCACGAGTAAGAGTTTCCCCTGAATTTCTATCAGTCCTTCTTCTCATCTTTGGTTTTGTCAGTCTCCATCTGAGACGATTAAGCCAAAAATGATCAAATCCTGATGTACAGAACCATATACACTACTCAAGGTGTGAACTGACCAGCATAAAGCAGTGGCATTATAACTTCCCTTGGAAAAAAGGATAGTATGTTTTCTCCACTACAGTGTCCTCAAATATAGGGTTCCACATCACAGTTAGGATACCATGTAATTATTTTTTAAATAAATGAATAAGTGAATGTGTGCACCTTAAGATAGATTAGATTTATCCTGTGATTGTTTCCCATTCTTGGCTCATAAATTTATAAGCATCTTTTTGTTTGTTTGTTTCCCCAGATGAATTTACTCAGTTTAGGTTAGCTCTCCAAAATCCATACTTAATAAAATAAAATAAATCTCTGTTGGGTGTTAATATGGAACAAGCAAATACTTATATAGAACATTCCTCCACAAAGTGTTGAGAAGATTAAGCCAAAAATGATCAAATCCTGATGATTTCCCCAGAGAAGTGTCCTTGTCCTTCTACAGAGAAGTAGTCTCCAAACCCACATTGCAAAAATAGGCTATCTTCCAGCGTTCAAACGTGACAGTCAAAAGAAATCGAGAGAAGCAGCAGAGCTGGGACGCTGAAGCTGCTCTTTCCCAGTTCTGCACTTGTAAATGGAGCAATTTACAAGAGATTATCCAAGGTCTGAATGGGGGAAGGGGGAAGGCACTCTCCTTTAGAGTACTGAAGGTTTAGCATCCTCTCCTTCCCTTTCTTCTTTGTCTTCATTTTTGTCAGAGTTAACCCCTGAGATAGGATTTTCTCTGAAATACTGGCGTCCGAGAAGTCTATTCTCCATCAAGTGACCAGACGAATCCGTATCTAAGACCAATCTTAGATTGGACGAATGCAATCTAAGACCTCCAAACAGGTGCACAGGAGAATAACCAAGGAGGTCTTGCTGCCACTTATCTTAAACTTGAGAGGCTGTCTCTTCTGGGACCAGTAAGTTAGATTTGGTTTGTCTTCAGGATGCAACACTCAATCGAGTTTCCAGCACCACAGCGCAAAGTTGAAGGAGAGGGAGAATGTGCGTGCATGTGTGAGTGTGTCTGGACCCGCAAAGCTGGGGCAGGCAGGAAATAAAGGGTGGGGCCAGCGAGGGGAGGAGGAAAGCAGGAATTGAAAGAAGGCAGAGCTCAGATCCCAGTTAACCTGCTGGAGCTCATCCTGCTACTCAGAGCTCCTGCACCTAGTCCCCCAGTACTCTCCTCCCCATTCTCCTTCTTCCTTCTCGCTGCACCCTCCAACTACCCCACCTCCCAGTTTTGCATCTGACCAGAGCACGAATGAGGAAGACATTCACACAGATCGGGGCAGTAACTTTCGCCTATCTGTCCCTGGGCACGGGGAGCTTGAACGCACTGATCATTCTCTCTCTGCGGTCCATGGAGGAGGAACCTTGATGGGCTAGAGGCAGCAGAGAGCAGCCCAGAGCCAGCCTCGCGCTGCTAGCCAGCTCCGGTTCCCACGCCTGCTCCCTAGATCCCGCGGCGCGAGGAGCGTGCAGGGCGCAGACCCCGATCATCTCAGGGAGAATGAGGCGGGGACCCAGCCGGAGCGTGGTGCATCTCGCGGGCGGGCGGCCGCTGCTGTGCCTTGGCATGAATTAAGAAGCCAAGAAGATGGAGCGCGGCACACTCCTCGCGCAGTCTAGGCTCTGGACCAGGGACATCTGCTTGACTCTCCTATATTTCCTCTGCTACATCCTCCCCCAGAGCGCCCCGCAAGTACTCAGGATCGGTGAGTGAGTCCCCAGCAGCGCCCAAGGCTGCCGACTTGGCGGACCTGGCTGCTCCCAGCTGCCAGAGCGAGGGCAGCGGGTCCCGGGCAGAGGCTGAGCTCACTGGCGCGAAGACCATAGCTGGGGGACAGGAGCTGGGGGTGGTGGAGGTCAATATGTACGGGAAGCCCCTAGAAAGTGGTAGCCTTGTTACTGCTTCCCTCCGCGCGAGTAAATGGGTTCCCCTGGATGTACTGTTGGCAGGGGCTGGAGGGGTGCAGGGAAGGGTGCAAGGGTGCAGACTCACCCAGGCTCATACCACCCTCTGGGTGTGGGGTCGCGCGCAGCTGGAGCCAGTTGGTTTTTGCGCCAAGATGCTTTCTCCTACCCACCTGGGTTGGAGTCTAGCAGCACGGATCTGCATCCCTGGTCACCAGCAACCTGGGCTGTGTAACTTGCAAGCACACCTAGATCTCAAGAGTAGAATGCAGGGACCTTTAGGGACGCGAGCATATCCTCCCGCCTACTAACCTCCAGGCTCGAAGTTTTCATCACTAAAGTAGGGTTCTTCCACATGGAGTCTCCAAAGTCCCGCGGATTTCAGTGAAGAGGGACAGAGTCTGAGAGCTCATGGAATGGGGAGGAGGGTCATTGAGCACCATCAGCAGGCACCTCAGTTTTTTACTTGCTCCCCAATATTCCCTGTTCACCACTGAGCATAATCCAGTCCCCAATACTAGCAATTCTGTACCTCCTGGGGGGCTTTGGGCTTCTTTCTCATAGGAGATAAAAAGAGACTGAAAGTTTGAATGTGGGAATTCTGCGGTTTCCCAAAGACAGTAAAAAGCAAATAGAGGAAGAGGAGGCACTTTTGCTAGTGTGTGGACTCCTGTGTGTTTTCAAATGTGCTTCACCCACCATGATGACTTTGTCTATGAAGGCACTGAGCAATTTGAGGGCTGTCTGTGGGTTGACAATACTCTGGACCTCCCTCAATGTTTTCCCTTTCAAACTAAACTCAATCCTTAGTCCCAATACACCCCCATCTCTGCCCCAACCAATTATGCTTAGAGACACAGTCACAGAGAGCCACAGGTGAAATGGTGACAACAAACTACTCTCTCAGCTTGTCAGTATCCCACATTAGCATCAAGAAGGAAATCCTAGGCTCTGAAGGCTTTAACTCACATCCTTTCCAGAAACTAACAGATCTTATAGGACACAGTGCAAAGCACTGAGTAGCGACATTCCTGGGCAGTCAGAATTTCTCCATAACTTTACTAGTTCTGACCTACAATTGTCCACCAAAACCAGATGCCATTGAGTTGATTCTGAAGCATGGTGACCCTCTTTCCAAAGATTCCGAACCTAGCACCTGTCTTTCAACACTTTCATTTTCAAAAAACAGAAATTTATCCCTTTGGAGTGTATTTTGTTGGGGGTATGCATGAACTGCTTTTCAAGGTAAGACCCAAATCCTGATTTTCACAACAGATTTGTGTTTTTCTAGACTATGGATAATGACAATGTGCAATTTGTTGTATAATTTATGTGTATTATGGATAACTTAGATTGTTCATTAAATGGGTTCTAAAGTATTCTTTTGCAAAAGAACAAAATAGTACTCTTACTAAAATATCCTTCACCTTGGGTTTTGTTTTTTTATAGTTTTAATATCTGGCTTTTGTTAATGAAATCAGCCCTACACACTGTGGTCCAAAAACAAATCCTTTGAACAATGGAAAATAAGGGATGAACATGTTATTATAATTTCCAATGCTTATTAACTTAGTTGGTGCTTTGGTTGTGATGTTATACTCTTATATGTTTTGAAAGAGATAAATCTAGAGATGCTAGAAGTGGCTGTGCTGGTCAATATTCCTTCTCCCTCTACAACAAACTTCAGGGAGCATCTTTCTTCTCCAAGTCCTCTACATCTAAAGAAACTCAAGGAGGAAGAAAAAATGTGTTTTTTTTTTAGGATATATTGATTCACAGATCTGAGTATTTATCCAAGTTGCAAGTAATCATTCTCACCCATTTAAAAGTAGTGTTCAGAGTGGACATAAACAATGTAATTCAATGACCTTAAAATATATTCACAAGTAATGATATTTCCTTTTCCTCAATGAGAGCTAACATGTTGCTGTTGTTATTTGCCATTGAGTCAGACCCTACTCATAGCAACCCCTCCTTGGGTTTCTGAGGCAGTATCACTATGGAAGTAGATTGCCCAGCCTTCCTTCTGAGGAGTGGCTGGTGGGTTTGAACCTCCATCCTTCTGGTTAGTAGTCAAGTGCCTTAGGCACTATGCTACCAGAGAGCTAACATATACAAAGTAAAATTGCATGGGCAAATGTTGTTTATGTGCAGTGTGAATGTTTTATTTATTTTATTTTATTTTTTTGGCCCTGAGTGACCTCTGATTGGTATATGCAGACCACTGAACTCCTGTTATACACCTAAGGACTGGTACTTAGTTTTAAATGGGCATTTCAGCACCATGGAAACCAGCTTCAGTTAGAAGAAACCAGTCTTTTAGTCTCTTGTGTCATTCAAGTAAGACTGTGTTCAAAGTCTCTTGTGTCATTCAAGTAAGACTTTGAACACAAAATATCAAAGGAGTTGGAGATTAAGCAAAAGTGTATGTGTGTGCATACACATGCACATGTGTGTGTTTGTATGTAAGGAAAAGGAATTGAATTATATTCTTCTTCGTCTCTCATCTCTCCTTTTCTTTTCTAACAAACCACCAACCATACAATCAGGCAAGTAGTCAACTAACAAAAAGATGTTCTTTCTTGTTTTCAGTAATTGAAAACACACTGGAATAAAGTACAGCATAAATACCAGGCACTTAACACTGTACTTATACAGAGAAGGTATTCAAATGCTTGAATGAATTAATTGTTAATTGCTGGTCTTCTTTCCTTGCCAGAGTGTCTGTTTAAACTCCAGCTCTTGAGAAAAGTGAATGAAAGGTATAAAATTTAGGACAAAATTGATGCATACTGAATATTTGAGAGATCATTAAATATGCATATGTTGTTGTTGTTGTTGTTATGTGCCGTTGAGTCGGCCCCGACTCATAG